AAAATAAACAGAAGTAAACAAATCAAAGCTAAATTTAGAGATTCTATTTCAAGAAATCACTGGTGATGACTCTGGAAACTTTATTTAATAAAGATTAGTAAACTCAACTAAACAGCACTATGAAATGAAAGTGTCACCTTGAGCTATTTCTGGAAAAATGAAAATTCATCATACAAAGAATCCTTTGACAAGATTATCTGTGCAAGTTTAAAGGTAGGAGGAAATTGCCACCTTGGATAATAATTTTGAACAGCTGATTATGTATGTGACTGTAGGGGCTGGAGTGGGAGGACGTGTTAGAATCACTGCCACTATAAGTGGTTAACGCTCACAAAGTAGGATCTGCACAGTGACCAAGTAGTAATTTAGAAACCAAAGTTATCTCCACGGTTAAGAAAAAAGGAGGTGTACCATTGACAGATTATTTAATTCATTCCGAGAAAAAGAGTCAAGTGTGAATTCTCTACTTGAAAAATTATGAAAAGGAGTAACAGCATTTAAGTGCTTAATTGGCTGTTCTTGAAAAATAGATTTGTAGAGAGCACAGTTTCACTAAATCCTTCATACTAATTCAAGGCAAAATGTGCCTGAATGGAAAAGTGAAAGAATTTACCTTAGGGTTTATGAACTTATCTGTGCTTATTTTTAACAGCTATACTGCTATATAATTTCTATATAAATTTCATTATTTATTAAATTCTGAACAAAGTGAACCTTGAGTAAATCGGGCACTAAAAATTAGTCCTAACTGTAACAGGAAAAACATCTACAACTAGTGGTTAATAAATGACTTTTCAAGTTTTTCACTGACCAAGTCCCAGAGACTAATTCAATCTAAATGCTATCTAATACCAGGGGATCTTCCCAGTCCAGGGACTGAACCCCGGTCTCCCAGATTGCAGACAGATTCATGTACCATCTGAGCCACCAGGGAAGCCCAAGTGGGTAGTAGGAGTGGGCAGCCTATCCCTTCTCCAGGGGAACTTCTCAGCCCAGGAATCAAACCAGGGTCTCCTGCATTGCAGGAGAGGATTCTTTACCAGCTGAGCCATGAGGGAATACATCTAATACCCAGGCTACACAAAAGACCAACAATTAAGCGTGACATCTAACTGGCAATTTGGTAAATCGACAAGTTTGAATTTTAATTGGCTGTTAAAGAAATATGTATATCTTTTACACACAGAAAGGAAGAGAAGCTTAATTAAACGATTCATCTTTTCTTGTTTGGATCTCCTTAGCTGATCAATGGTTCACAAAATCAAGTCCTGTCACAGACAATTAGTACCCACAAGCCATCTTTGAACTGGTTAAGGAAAGAGGACAAAAATGGAAGTTTACTGAAAAAATAGACATAGAAATAAAGAACAAGACCAAAAAAACCCACATAAATGCTTAAAAAAGAAAGGAGATTGCGAGGCTCAGAAGATGTGCAGTATAATTTTCTTTGTCTCACCTAGAGTGGAAATGGAACATGAAAACTGATGACATCTCTGCCAAAGCAACTATGTTCCATACCCACTGCTGTCATCAATGTTTAGATTCAAATTATTTCAAATGGATCAAATTAACTCAACATTTATGGAGCACTTAACTAATTGCCAAGCACTATGCTAGTGAAATGGAGACAAAAGCTCATTAAAAACAGTATGTTAAAAAGTTCTTTAGGAAGCGTAGATAATTTCTCAATATACATTTTATAATCTCTTTTCCAATCTCTCAGGACCTACCAGAATTACTTCTTTCTGCCAATATTTAATGAAGACATACAAAGTACCAGGGGTAATACGAAGCACAAGGAATATAATGAAAAAGATCTTGCAGGGTTATAAAGAGGCCCTTTGTATGAGTTCAGTCCTTTATCACAGGACTTTTAAAGGGTAGGACATCAAAAGAGTGACTTCATCAAATTTACCTTTAGAAAGATGGTTTTCAGGATGGTATGGATGGGATGAAGCAAGATTTTAAAGATAGGCAGATGAGTTATGAGGGTCCAATTATAACCCAAATGAAAAATATTTAGAGTCTGATTTCAAGTGGTAGCTAAGGTGACAGAAACAGAAGCACCAAAAAAAAAGACATTTTAAAGAAGAAATTTTAACAATTTAGGACCTGCTGGAAGTAGGTGTTACTGAAGAGCAGTAAACGACAACTTCAGACAAGTTATCCAGCTATCCGTAACTGAAGAGACGAAGGGATCCTTTTCCACAGGTGAACAAGCTTGAAAAGAAGACAATGCGTTTAGTTTTGGCCAAAGTGAGTTAGAAACAAATGGTAATAAATTTCAATACTTTGTGGTCATACACTGTGGTCTCAAACTATGGGATAATGTTGGATATTTTCAGAGCCACTTAACTATTTGACAAAGTCTACTGATTGACTCTGAAATGTGCCAGATTGTCCCTAAATTTTGGTAAGTCTTATATATTTCCATACCTCATTGAATAATACTGGTTATAATCAGTAGTCATCTAGTAAAATCATCTCAATTTTCTTTCTCAATATAATGGAAATATTTCTATTCATAAAACTGTACCATTTCAATTACACCTAAAATCAGTAAATGATTTGCAAAGTATTTTCAGCTCTTAAGAATATAGTTCTATGCCCTCTAATGTTTTTAAACCAGTGAATAAAATAATAACAATTTGTTTGTATAATCTTGATAGTTTTCAAAGCTTTCCTAGCCATTATAATTATCCTGTGAGTTATAATAAAAGCCAAACGACAGGTGAGTATTTTAAAACATACAGAAGGCAAATACAGAACCACAACTCACAAATCAGATTACAGTTTATGCTGTACACACACATATATTAGACCTGATTACAATATTGTACAAAACTATTTGAAGTTTAGAAAATACTGGTTTATACAGTCCTTTGATAATCCAGCTGAAAGGAGAAAAACATGGCTAATACAATTTATATAAGTTTATAATCATGTATTAAAATAATCAAAGGGACTTATGAGTATTCAAGCTGAGGGAAAGAAAAAGAGTAAAGACAAAAATGAAAAGCAGATGGAGCCTCTGCCTGTGAAACCTGAGTTCAGTGACTTGACATAATAGGAAGCTTAAGTAAAACTTCATCTTTATCCCACAGACATTATGTTTTTTCCTCAAGTAAACTCAAGGTTAACTGTTTTTTAAGTTATACACACAATTCCCTGGGCATAATACAAAATAAATTTAACATTTTGTCTCCTTCAATAGTATAAAAGCATTTCCTAACACTTCCATATGTATTAACTGTCACTTTTCTGTATTTTAAAGTTATACTTTAACACTTATACCCTATGAAGTCATGAAGTTACCTGTACAAGTCTAAGGAAGCCACAAGTATTTACTAATGCAGTAATTTTCCTTATGTGATAGTTATCAGGTCTTAAAAGATAAATATTCCAATATTCTAGTTGAGCAAAGTAATGGCCAACTTCGCATCTACATGTATCACTATATTAACCCCACCCCCTCCAAAAAACACTAAAGCTATTAATATTTACTGGCAGATGCAATATTGAAACTTAAAATCAACTCTCTACTATGCGGGGACTCTCTATTATCTCCAGGAGGCCCTGAGCACAAAGTCCTTACAGCTCAGACACAGGCCCAGAAATGCTTTGGTCGGAGCCTGGCTCCCAGCGGCCAGTCCCAGTCAGTGCGCTGCTCTCCAGCACAGTGCTCAAGCGACCGTCAGCGTTTCCTCTCTACACTGCTGGACGCTCCTCTTCTGCCTGCTCCTCTCTAAGAAGGCAGAAAGAAGGGCCACGAGTAAACTCAATTAAATGTTGTTGGGCAATTTAGTGTCTCACATTTGACCACATTTCAAACGTCCATACTACCTCTGGCTCTCATTATCTCCTATAGATAAAGCTGACTTCTATCTAAGTGTTCCCATGGAATCATAATCCATACTGCATCCTCCTTATTTCACATTAATAACAACCTATATATATGTGTGTGTGTGTGTGTGTGTGTGTATATATATATATCACTGACCACTACAAGTATTTTTATTTTTCTGTACTTTTATAAAGTTATAAAATACTATAAAACTACATTTTAAAAAAAAAACTACATTTAAGTACTTTCTTGGTAATTTTTAAACTCTTCCTGAAAAATTATAAAAAGGAACACTTTCACAGAAATGAATGTGATAATAAATATATGAAAAGCAAAAAAGATCATCCCTATTTCTTCCTTATCCTCCATCCCATACTTCAAGATAATTATCTTTTATCTAAAATATATAAAACATGTTTCATAGAAACAAAGTTTTTAAAAATAGGATACACTGTGAATTATACCTAACTTTCTTCACTTATTAAAAAAAATCACACACACTCCTTAGAATGAACAAGAGTTCATAACATTCCATCACAACCATTCTCCCTCTTGATGTGTATTAAAGTTATTTCTAGCTTTTTGCCACAATAAGCAATTCAGTTAATAAACACGTTTGTACAATTTCCTATGTCGGACTGAAACAACATCATGCCCTTTCATATACACACGTAATCACTCTGCATTAGTAAGAGGGTACTCAGAAGAGAACCCAGTGTACAAGAGGAACTTTCAAATAAGATATCCTCCTTGGAGGAAGATGAGGAGAACATATTCTTGACACAAAAAAGATCACAATCTATTCTAAAAGTCCTTAAAATAAGAAAAGATGGAATTAGAAACAAGGTTCAGAATTTGTATTACTGGTCTGGAGAACTTAAACAACCAATTACAGTTTCCAAAACATAAAGTCCTCCTGATTTTCAAAGAAAAGCTGCCTAACAGAATGAGTACATTATTTTTAAAAAATGTTTAAAACAAGTAAAATTTAAAACACACTCAAGTCAAATTCATAAGATGCTTGTTATATAACACAAAACTAATTTCCAAAATTTGAGGTTAAGTGTGACATTTAGGATCAGGGTTTATATGAAAATCAAACTCAATACTTAGTGAAAAATTAATATAAGATCAGTATCCACAATATTAGAACATATTTACTACTTAAATACTTTTATTTTGACATATGCAGTAAGTCAAGGTCTGTTAAAATCTCGAGAAAAACAGGAACTCATACAGTGACACACCAAAAACAGCATAAGTAGTTAAGTGTAAAAAATAAAATCTTAGTTTTCACCAAGGTGACTATGGATATCAAATTGGAGAAAACTGACCACAATGATGAAAAATCATTATATTTCATGTTGACAATCTAGTATTTATTGACAAAAAAAGAGAGAAAAAACCCCAACAAACACCGTACAATGGCTGGTTTTGCAAACTACAGAAATTTAAAATGCAGGAGGGGGTACCTTACAAAGCTCTAGTGATAAGTAAATGGACTACACTTTTCAGGTTTTGGCAGACACTATATATTTTCATTCATCCTTGGAAGCACTGCTGAAATAGAAGTAAGAGTTCCATCATTCACAGAGGATAAAGGGGCGGTTCAGAATGTGAGAAGAATTTATGCTAACTGCACAGCAGAGACAAAAAGTCCTGGGACTGAAGCATCAACTGCCTTTCCACATTAGTAGATGGCCAGTACTTTCCCACCAGGCCCCACAATTTTCAGTCATTTCTTAATTTTCTCTCTTCTCAGTTCTCCACGTTCTATGAAGTCCTGCTGGTGTTACACACACACCAAAAACATTTGTTTCTATCTCCCTTCTGGTCTGCACAACTTCTCTCAACAGTATTTCTTTTTCCTTCTTCAAAACACTCTTCTCAAAGGAGTTTTCAGTGAGTCTTTTTTGATTCAAAATGGACTGGAAGACAAGATGAAATAAAAGAGCTCTTTTCCTAGTGTCCATGCTAGGAAAAAAAAAAAAAAAGGAAGAGAAAATGACACAAAAATCTCTATTAAGAACAACATTTCTTATTTACATTCAAACAAAAAAGAAGAAAACTACCAGCATATCCTGCCATTTCACTTACTTTTCCTTGGTCTATTTTATTGACGTATCTTTGTCTATATCCACCTAATTGAATTGTTATATATTCCAAATGCTCTACGTTTTCAAAAACAACTCCCCCCACACTCATGCATACTTCTTACATTATCATTTAAAAAGCACAACAGAATTAACAAATTATCAAGAATACATCTGAAGATACCATTTCTAAAACTTCAATAAGTAGTACCTATAAAATCTCAATGAAATTCTCTGCCATACAGTTGAAGAAAATAATTTTTTGCAATATGTTTAAGTTGCACTGGAACTAGAGCTGGGCTCCTGGCACTTGAGACTACTATTCTAGAGAAAAATCACAAATGTAAGACTTAAGGTGCTCCAGTTAATTACTTAAGTGCATAGCAGTGTTAAATCTTCATGCCAAAGAAATAAATCAGTGTCAAATGGTTAAATAGTCAACTAACACAAAAGAAGTAATCAACAAGTTAATTACAAACAAGCTTTTTAAGCATATATTCAGAAATTTAAATTTAATACCATTCACAGATCTAAACATTTACCATTGGTTTTTTAAAATTTGCAACTAGGTAATCTATTATGTCAGCATGCTATGTACCTAAATGTTCTTAGTGAATTTTAACACCACAGAAGTGAATCTGTGATTCAAGAGTAGCCTCCTTTATTTTGAAGATGACAGAAAACATTGTGTAAAAGCAGAAAAAGAAAAAGACAAAGATGCTGGTACTGTTTCCTAACTGTTCTATCACACTTACAAAAGACTACTCCTCCTCATCTCCCACCTCCCACCAACCACTCCTCACCCCTTCCAGGAAAAGAATTATTTTCTCCAATAAAAACACAGCAACCAAGTAAAACACATAAGAAGAATACCTGCAAGACTTTTCTTCCCATAACTGGTCCCAGGCAAGCATCTTCAGGCACTCTCTCATGTGATCCTCCACTGCTTCTTCAGCCATTAGAGAAGCATCCTCAGTGGTGGTGGAGGGGTCAGAGGTTTACAGTAGATGTAGCATATTGAGATCAAGGATCATATCCATCTCCTCACAAAAAGGACGGGGCCTTTCAGGGGGTCCAGATCACCACTTCACACCTCTGTGATTATACTCACATGTTACTGTTCTGATATTGAGCAATTCCTACTCTCACCCCCAAAAATCCCACCAGAATATACTTCAAAATCTTAAATATGGAATTCTCCCATTTTTCTCTTTATTAATCATTAACATAATTTGTTTACATCCTGACTCATTCCACAGAAGGTGTTGGATTGATACTTCCCTATATTAATAAAGGAATACCTAGAAAATATCCTTACTTGAAGGTATTCTCCACATATATATATCCTCTCTCATAAAATTCACATGCAACAAAGGAATTAGCACTCCCTGCCCCAATACCTTGGGTAAAGAAGGTTCAGAGAAGTGTGTGAAAATACACTTCAGTTGAAAGTCTAGGAAGTAAGGGAAGGAGACAGTTGCTAAGAAGTAACAGGAAAAATTGTACACTACAAAGAAAATTATGGACTTGAGACTATGTGTAAATTAGTGTTTTAGTTAATCCCTGCATTGCTCTCCTTATCGCTCAACATTATTTTTGGTAACATAATTTAAATAAAAATATACTTCTTATAAAATAACATTATGTTTTAAGAAAAATGAAAAGTATTCCTCTCTCACCCCTCCATCTTTTTCCCAAAAGGAGATCATTCATGTCCTTTCATCTTTCTCATTCATATTCAAACATGCGTATGATTTATGATCACAAACATACTAAAATACTATTCTCACAACGTGCTTATTCACTTTATGTATCTTGGCCATCTTTTCACATCTGTATACACTGACCTCCTGTAATATTCAACACTCCCTCACATTCCCAGAACACATACGTGGTTCCATGTCCCACTTAACTTAAACAAATGCTCATATTCTAATCTCCATCTCTTAAACTTCAGGTTCTAGGCTATTTCCTTAATCTTATTTCTAAATAATTCATTCACCTTTCAGCCCTTCCTTTGAATGTTTTTTATTTTAGCAATATTTTTTGTTTCTGAGAACCCTGCAGATTGCTTTCAGAACAGGCTGACTTAATTTTTCAGCTGCTTTATGATCTTTACTCTCTAAGGATGCAAATTACATTTAGGTTCTACCAACATCGTGCATCATTCTCATTTTCCAGGAGTCAATTTCTCTCAGTTCATCTCCTACTCATATTTTTGGTTTTCTGGTAATCATTGGTCTTCCAAATTTGTGAATGGTGTCCCAGAGTTAGCTAAACAGCAAGGGTTGCTAATGTAGATCTATAGGTCTGTCACTTTCTGAAGGAATCTTCCCTGAATTAGCGCGTTGATTTCAGAATGAACGTGGACTGGGCAGAGCATATCAAGAAGTTTTAATTTAGAATGTATGTCATAAAACGGGTTGTTGCAAGACTGCAAACAACAGGAAGATTTCACTTTTGGGGCAGACTGTTTTACTGTGTTTCACATCCCTGGAACTGATCTTCCCTTTCCTTCCTTTTGAGTTCCAGGCTCCACTTTGCTACTCTCTCCAACCACAGCATCCACAGTCAGGAGCCTTTCCTAGATTCATCACGTGCAGAACAGAAGCCACGTCTCCTATCCTAGAGACAAATACCACTGCTGATTATCATTCCGTACAACTGAAGAAGAAAAGAGTCCAGCTGGTACTGGCAGTTCTTAAATTAATTAATCTGATGATTACATCACAGACCACTTGAATCCTCTGAAACTGTTAAAACAGATGGGAGTTTCTTGAAGTCTACCAAGGAAAAACTTAACCCGTTTCACTTGCAGTTTTTTCTCTGCTCTTGTTTCTCTCTCTCTCATCCCATCTACTTTCTATCTTCACAGAATTCCCCCAAATTTGCTATACCAATGTCACCCTTTCTTGCTGCCCATTGTATTTTTCTTTAAAAAAAAAAAATACATTTTTAGTTGTTTCAAAAAGATGTGATGAAGTTTGAAAAGAGCTGATACTCTGCCATCTTTTAACAAAAGTCTCTTCAAATTTTCAAGATTTCTATATTCCTTCATAAGTAAAGTAAAAAGTACCCACTTCTGTAGTTCTACAAATAGAAATACTTTACAAAGCAAACTATGTATAATATTCTTTTACTTTCCTCCCTCCACTCATAACCTGCCAAAGCCCAGGTTTTATTCTTATTAAAACATCTAAACCTTATTTCCTACTGGTCATTTTTTCATATCTTCCATTTTATTAGGAATATTTTCTCTTTTTATATTATATCTCAATGTACATCAAAGTACATTAGCAACAAGTTTTTAGACTTAACCGAAAGTTTCATTGACTGTTTTGGTTTACTGTTTGCTTTTATTCATCTATACTTAGTGTATATCTTTCTTTTTTCCATCCACAATTCTCTATTCTGATTAATTTCATTTTGCTTAAGTACTTCCAAATAATATATTCATTTGTAAGTGTTATAGTTCAGAGTTCTTTTATATTTGTCTTAATACTTCAAAACAATTTTGCCTGTATACAGAACCTTAGGATCATAGTACTTTTACCTCAGAATTCTATAGAAATTTTCCACTGTTCCTTAGTATCCAGTGCTGCATAAGAAAAATCAGATGCCAATCTGGTATCTTTTTTGCATTAGGGTAAGTCTGTTTACTCTATCTGGAAACTTGGTTTTCTTTTGGTTCTTGGAATTCAAAATCTGACCACTATTTGATTATACCAGAAATTTGATTTCAGCATATCTTATTTGATGGCATTCTTCAGCTCAGGAAAATTTTACTCTACCATTTCACTGTCTTATACTGCTTTTAGAGTATTCATTTTTCACTTCTGAATTCTTATTTCACTTATGATAATGATCTCTTGAATCTATTTTTTAGGTCTCAAACTTTTCTCTTATGAAATCCAACTCTTTTTGCTCTATTCCCTGAAAGAAATCTCAATCTGTCAATATCACTATCTCCCTTTTCAAAAAATTTATTGTGAAATATTTTAGACATACAAAGGAGTGTAGGATACCATTTAACAAACACCTATGTCTCTACCCCTCAGCTGAAGAAAAATCGTTACCTACATAACAGAATACCTTTCTTTCCCTCCTAGAGATAATCTAAGTTTGGTGTCTATCATTACCACGAATTTCCTTATATATTTTATATATGTATACACCCAAAAAACTGTACATAGTATTGCTCTGTATTTTTAAGCTTCATAAAAACTTAATACTTTACACATTCTTCTTCACCTTATATGAAATATACCACAGTTTACTTGTCCACTCTCCATTTATTAAGAGCTTAAGACTGCTTCCAGTGTTTCACTTTTACAAATGATACTGGTATGAACATCCCTATTGCACTTATATGTGAGTTTTTTTAAGGGAATGTCTTTCAAACTACAGCTTAGAACCCACCAATAAAATCACACTAGTAGGTCAAAGTCGTAGGTGAGGAGTAAAGGTAAAAGGGAAGAAGTAGTAAGGCACAGAGGTGAATCAAAGTGTGCAATACACAGTAAAGCTTGTTTCCTGAAATTCTGATTTATGTTATTGTCAAAACAGATCAATAAACAATGCTAAGGTATATGTAAGCATGAGTATGTATGTATATATATATGCAGAATTGCCAGATTATTGCAGAAATGTTCATTCAAGCTTCCTCAGTTCAGTCACTCAGTCGTGTCCGACTCTTTGCAACCCCATGAACCGCAGCACGCCAGGTTTCCCTGTCCATCACCAACTCCCGGAATTTACTCAAACTCATGTCCATCGAGTCAGTGATGCCATCCAATCATCTCATCTTCTATCGTCCCCTTCTCCTCCTGCCTTCAATCCCTCCCAGCATCAGGGTCTTTTCCAATGAGTCAACTCTTCGCAAGCTTCCTAGATATTGCCAAATTACTCTCGAAAACTAGTTGTTTATACTTCTGCAAACTTAAGAGTTCTTGTTGTAACATATGCTAACCCATATAGTATAGTCACATTTTAATCTTAACAATCTGATACCTGACTGAAAATATATTTCAAAACACTTGTTTTTGATTGATTTTGCTAGTTACTTTCAAGATGGTATCTGGAATCTTTTATTATTTGAAGGCTGAATTCTCTTACGGCATCTACTAGTGTTTAAAAGTCTGCTACTGGTCTAGTTTTATATCTCTGCAGGTAATCTATTTCTGGCTACTTTTATTTTCCTTTTATCCTTAGTATTATCCAGGTATTTTGCTTCCTCTGGATTTACTGTGTTGGTTTTTTGTGTTTTTGTTTTTTTCAGTCTAATAATAGATATCTTTTAATTTTGGAAAACACTCATTCCTTCTTTGGATATAGACTGTCAGTCTCCTCATTCTCTTTTTCTGAACTCAAACTTCACACATATTAAGACATGTTTACTCTTCTGACTCCATGTCTTTCATGTTCCCATATCTCTGTTTTTTCAAATCTATCTTCTGGCTCATTAATTCCATCTTCAGCTAGGTTTCATATATTTAAATCGTCCAATGTAAGCAGTTAAGTCAGCAAGTGTTCTGTGCACAGCTTTGGAATCAACTCAGCACTCTGGATTCTAGTACCTTCTATATTTTTTGGCCTCTACAGGTTGTACTTTGCAATCAAATTTTTAATTGTCAAGAGTTTTTTTTCACTGTTATTTTCTCTAGAAACTAAATATTTTCAGTTTGCTTTTATATATATATATATTAACTGATTTCTGGGCTATTTGCTCTGCTTATTTTAGAATGAGTGCTCTGTTTAGCACTGCTGTGTGCTAAGTTGCTAAATTTTAGTCATGTCCAACTCTGCAACCCTATGGACTGTAGCCTGCCAGTCTCCTCTTTCCATGGGATTCTCCAGGCAAGAATACTGGAGTGGATTGCCGTACCCTCCTCCAGGGAATGTTCCCAACCCAAGGACTGGACCTGCATCTCTTGTGTCTCTAGCATTGACAGGCGGGTTCTTTACCACTGGCACCACCTGGGAAGCCCTCAAATATCCAGTATTTCATCATTATCTTCATCTGTTTAAATCAAGACCTGGATTGTTCACTACTGATGGCTGATTCAGGACATTGCTTTACTTTTCTCAAGAGTCTCCCAGACTCCCACCCTTCCCATAATAAATGGTTGTGAGACTTCCTAGGTGGGTTTTGCCCTTAGTGTGGTAAAGGGGAGAAACTAGTTTATTTCTCATCTAGATTCACTGATCCTAGAGTCTACCTACCCTGATAATGCCCACAGGCAATTTTCCCTATTTTATAAGCTGTTCAATAGTGGTTTTTAATAATCTAATCTTATCAGTCTTATATTTACCAGGAAGTCCCTAAATGTTCACTGACAGCATCCTTACGTGTTTTCCAGAATTGCAATGAATTTTTTATTATTTTCTTTTGTCACTACATTTTGGACTTGGCCAACAAACATATACTTGCAAGTAATGATAATGCATATATCCATCAGCAGATGAATGGATAAGAAAGCTGTGGTACATATACACAATGGAATATTACTCAGCCATTAAGAAGAATACATTTGAATCAGTTCTAATGAGGTGGCTGAAACNGGATGAAACTGGAGCCTATTATACAGACGGAAGTAAGTCAGAAAGAAAAACATCAATACAGTATACTAATGCTAATGCTATATGGAATTTAGAAAGACAGTCACAAAGACCCTATATGCGAGACAGCAAGAGACACATAGATATAAAGAACAGTCTTTTGGACTCTGTGGGAAATGGCGAGGGTGGGATGATTCGGGAGAATGGCATTGAAACATGTATATTATCATATGTGAAATGAATCACCAGTCCAGGTTGGATGCATGAGACAGGGTGCTCAGGGCTGGTGCACTGGGATGACCCAGAGGGATGAGATGGGGGGAGGTGGAAGAGGGGTTCAGGATGGGGAACACATGTACACCCGTGGTGGATGCAAGTCAATGTATGGCAAAACCACTACAATATTGTAAAGTAATTAGCCTCCAATTAAAATAAATAAATTTATATTAAAATTTTTTTTAAAATAAAATAAAATCCTAGTATTGCTCATCATATCACAGAAATCATATCCTCAAAACAAGCAATAAAACAGCAAGAACAACAGAAAATTGAGGGGCACATCTTAGAGGAGTCTCTCATAATTACCATCCTATATACAAACGTCTGAAGTTTACAAAGTTCCTTCCCCCACCTCCTCTATTTTAGTAACCTTCTTGTATCCTATGAACAACCCCAGCCACCCCGACACCAAAACAAAAACAAAAACAAAAACTCTCCAACTCTTCAATTCTCACTTCTGGTTAATCTTCTACTTAAAGCATAAAGAAATTTGAAAGTAGAAATTAGAATTTTTTTTATCATGGACAATGTACTTTCTGTTTTAAGTATAGTCTTTATTATAAAAGTAATTAGCCATGTAATAGAAAATTTGTAATCTACACAGAGTTTTACAGATGATATAAATTAAAGTCCCTGAAGGAACAAATAACAGTGATAAATGAAGAAACTCAGACTAAGAACTATGCCAACTCTACTGACCTCTATTTTTCTTCCTCAGTCAAGTCTAAATGGCAGTAAAACAAAGCAAAAGGAAAAAGAACAAAGTATATTTTTATCTGGTTTAGTTTATTACACAAAGAGAATGCTTTATACTTCCTCTGCTAATGGGTGTAAATTCCACATAGAAAATACACTCCAGGATAGCATGCCAACTCTTTAATTTGCTCTCCCCACAGCTACCCTACTTAAAGGGTGCCTATCACCCACCTCGCCCCTCTTTTCTTTCTGAAGTCATTTAAGTAAAAAATCTATTATCATCTGGATACTTCAAGAATATATTCATGTCACCCTACAAGTTGAAAAATGATGGTCATATTTATTAATAAAAGGCAGTGACAGCAATCAAAATGTCCACTGACAGAATGGATAAAGGAAATGCGTTGTGTGTGTATGTATGTATGTGTGTCTGTGTATGTGCATATATGTATATGAATATTACTCAGTCACAAAAAAAATGAAATAATGCCATTTGCAGCAACTTGGATGAACTCAGAGATTATCATACTAACTGAAGTAAATCAGAGAAAAACAAATATTATATACTACCAGTAATATGTGGAATCTAATTTTTTTTAATGATATAAATTAACTTATTTACAAAACAGAAACATATTTATAGATACCAAAAACAAACTTGTGGCTGCCGAGGGGGAAATGTGGGGAGGAAGGGTAAATCAGGAGCCTGGGATGGACATACACACACACTACTATACACAAGTCAGGTAACCGACAAGGACTTACTGTGTAACACGGGGGGCAGTATTCAATATTCTGACAATCTATACGGGAAAAGAATCTAAAAAAGAATGAATATAGGTATACATATAACTGAATCACTCTCCTATACATCTGAAACCAACACAACATGTAAATCCACTACACTCTAAAAAAATTAAAAAGAAAGCGGCACATTCAAGCCCTGATCTCAGTATCTAGAATAAAATTAAAGGCAGTTATCAATATTGCTTTTACTCACACCTATTAAGATATTTAAAAAAAAAAACACTGGTTATTCAAATTTTCAAATTTATATCCTTTTAGTCTTTCACCACAATGTTTTACATTAAAAAAAAGAAACATCTGTAAACTATTGGTGTTTCCTTGCTTTATATTTATGTACATTTTTATGTAGGGTTGAACACTGAATATAATGAACTGAAGAAGCTAAAGAAGCAAATTATTTAAAGAAATATGTTCAATGCTTTTGCAAATCAAACAATAACCCCCAAATTATCTTTTTTTATAAACCCTAATTTTATTCAGGATTACTTAAAAGTGGGGTTTCATAAAATAAAATCCAACAAAAATATTCCCAAGATTTAAAGCAAAATGCCTCTTTGATAGTATTATTCTTTTCAACAACCCAACAAAGATTACTGGTTAACATTTTGATACACTGATACTATATATAGTAACTGAATGCTAAAACACAGGGCTCTTTCTCAGCCTTATTGATCAGCATTTTATGTTGGTTAGTACACTAATTTCACAACTTTCCAAGATACCAACTGACTTCAAATGAAATCACTGACTGCTGAAACCTTTCTACACAATGAACTGATACATACCTTCAGCATCTCTAGGGTAGAGACCACCAATGTGAAAATTTTTGTCTTTTATGTTCAGAATCATTTAGTTTCTTTTTAAATGTTGAGCAATTAAATTACTTAATATTCCACCCCCACTGATCTTTTAGAAGAAATGATGCTTTAAAAGAGTAATACATTTTACTGCATGGCTTCACAGACTCCCTGCTAAAAATACATAGATACCTAAGCACTCCAGTCTGAGCAGCAAGCTCACAGACTATGTTGCTAAAAGTTGCAAACTGTAGTTTATGTTCAATATGTGGTCCATCTCAGTAACTTGAAAAAAAAAATTATGACTAGTAAAAAAACAAATCTAAAAAAGCAGATGTTTTTAAAAAACTTTCAATAATTCAAAAGCACAAACTTGGAATACAGGTTGAGTTACAAAGAAAAGTGAATAAATACTGTATCAAGTGGTACTCATTATACATCTACCTGAGGCAACAAAGCCGTCTCCACAGTGTTGACAATTTTTTGACAATTATTAACAATTTTATTATCCACAACAACTTTACTTTTTCTACTAGCTGTTTAAGTTAAACATTAAATCATGGCATTATGAATTGTAATCCATAAAAATTATACAATGC